CGCTCAGCCGGGGGAGGAAATTTCAGTCATTCGGGCTTCAAAGCTTGTAGCTCTTCTTGGAGGCCCGCGAATCACAGCGTTGCCAGGGCTTGCGGTGGCGATGGCCGGCCCAGAGTTTGTAGCATGTCCGCGCGAGGTGTCTAGACTGCCCTGCTCGGTTTCATTGCTTTCCCTCTCGCCTGCCTCCACTCTAGCTGCGGCAGCTTTACGACTGGTGCCCCTGACGGCTTGGCTTGTGTTTTCCGTTTCCCATTGCAGTGCGTTTAGGTTGCGTTGCCTTCCTTGCTTTACGGTGCACTTGCATTGCTTTGCATGGGAAGAACCAATGCTCAATCGGTATCTGTTCTGGCAGTTTCTTCAAGTCGTGCTCAATGCTTATGCGGGGACGTCAGTGCGTGTATATATACATTTGTATACGTAAGAAGCGTAAGTCTACGTATATGCAGTTGTATGCTTGTCGAGGGCCGGGGCTTGCTAGAAGCTCAGCCCGCGCGAAGTGCGCGCGTGGTTCTAATTGATATAGGAGCGCATGCTGTTGAGTGGGTCAGGAAGAAAACGACGGTACGCGGACGAGCAGGAGGTCAGGGAGGGGCTGAGGAGGAGGTCTTTGGAGGCCCCCGGATGTCTCCAGAGGTCCCCAGATGTTCTCGGAAGCTTGCAGAGCACCCCAGTCGCCGAGAAAGGGCCAAAAACGTCCGAGATTCTCCAACCCCAAACCTGGAGGAGGGGGAGGAGGAGGAGGGGGAGGAGGGAGGAGGAGGAGGAGGAGGAGGAGGGAGGAGGAGGAGGAGGAGGAGGAGGAGGAGGAGGAGGAGGAGGAGGAGGGGAAGAAAAGGGATGAGGAGGAGTAGGCGGAGGGAGGGGAAGAGGAGGGAAGAGGGGGACATCAAAGAAAACCCAGGGTGCATCAGTGATGCTGCAAAGTACCCTCCCGTCCCAAGTCTCCTCATCGAAGGTCTCAACAGGCATTCCTTTTCAAGAAACACGAGAGATGAGAGTCTCTGGGCTGGCAGTTCAACGGCAACTCCGTTTTGAAAGGTACCCCCCGCTCCATCGTTCGAGCCCAAGAAGTGCCGCGGGATGTGGCGATATACTTTATATAAGGAGATGTCCAGCGAGAGCCCCGGTTTGACAACTCACGCCCTTCAAGCATTGTAATTTCGGGGGCGGAAAAGAGGGGGGTGATGACTAGGGGGGGGGGGGGATATCATGGCGTGGGCCATGATATCTCCGCAGATTTCATGGCGCCTTTTCTTATTTCATTACGTCCCAGGCCCCCCCGCTGGGCCGCGCACATGCCGCCGGTCATGATTTGCACCCCCCCCCCTCTTGGACACCCCCCTCTTGGCCGCTCCCGATCAATCAGTGTACTTGTTGTGCGTTTTGACATTTCCTTGGCCATAAACGTCGGGGAAGGACGGCCAAGACGCTTAGATAAGGACCACTTTGAGTTCAGAAGGGGCTCGCTGTTCCTTAAGCTCTTCCATGGATGTTCCTCTTGCTCTCCTCTTGCACCTAGGCGCTTTTTGGGCCAAGAGGGGGCCAAAACGGAATTACGACGACCTCCAGAAAACAATCAAGCCAACCACACACAACACCTCACAGCAAGACATTGGCAATGGGAGATTGCAATGCGAAGTTATTTCACCAAGGAGCTGGCGAAGCAGGACATGTGAAAAACACGTCATTTTTGTTGCAAAACCCGCCGAACAGTCCATCAACAAAGTCACCAACTTGCACCTATTATTTGAGTGCTGTATCGCGCATAGTTTGGTAATTGCAAAGACGTACTTCGACGTCCCGACCGAGGATCGCATCACGTTCAGAGGATCGGGCACAGCACCAATGGACTTAATATCTTCGGATGGATTCCAACAAATCGATCACGTGTTATGTCATCACTCTGTTCTCCCACTGGGCAAAGCTTGCAGGACCATTCGGGAGGCCGCGCTGAACAGCCTCCACTTCTTGACGATTGCCGATATATCTGTATGCTTCCCTCGGGGGGCTGGTGCAAACCACAATGCAAAGTATGACATTACTGATTTATCGCACCCAACCACGAAAACAATCGTTTACATACCTTCAAAGAGCAGTGGGCTACTTCAGGTGGACCGTCGGGCTCGCTCGACGGCGCCGCCCAGAGCTTAGAGAAGCAGTCTTCGGAGAAGCTTCAAAGCAGCTGCCGTCATGCTCCATCCCATCACGACGACGCTGGATGTCTTCAGGTACGCTGGAACGGACCGAACAGAGGAACCAGGATCGCCGAGCCGAGGACTACACAGCATAGAAGAACAAGATGGTGCGTCGAGCTGCTCAGAAGGACCGTGCAAATTTGCTGGATTCTTCTTTTTGGTGGGCGGGGGTTGTGACGCAGTTGAACGGTTGCGCAAACATGCTCCTCGCACACGCGCTGGTGTGAAACATCTGGACAGGAATCACACCGACATGGCAGCCAGGCCAGACGCTCTCCCGGACTACTCCAGGAGGGTGCAATGGCGAGAACATGTCGCTGAACTTGCACCAACAAACACGTATACATACGTTTGGAAGCGTTTTCCCAATCAATAAGGGGATACAGTTTCGCTGGCCGAGCTCAGGGCGACAATCCGGAAAACGAGTAACAAGAACGCCGCCATTTTGGAAAGAGTCTTGCAGACGATCCAGAAGCACGTGGAACCTTACTGCACGTATGTCAAACATGTTGGGAGACTACAGCAATACCCGCCCGCATTTTGGAAGCGAGCCCACGTCATTCTTGTATTTCATAAAAGAGAGGCGTTTTAACTCAGCAACTACAGGTCCATCTCCCTCCTCGTTGTGGGTTGCGGCTATGATCCACCGGAGGCTTCTCGTTGGAGGGTGCGAAAGTAGAACACGGGAGTCCCAGCTTGGCTCCCGGCCGAAACGCGGCCCAGCTGACGCTTTAGTGTTGGTGCAGCGAATGGTGGACGCAGCGCGTTTGAATAACGCAGGGGGCTCGTAGCATTGTTGTTGGATTGGGCCAAGGCACTTGGTCGCCTTAAGCTAGAATTCGTGTGCGCAACGCTCGAAAGGTTTGAGGGGTACTCTATTATCGTTGACCACTGTAGGAGATCATATGAGAAGAGGCGATCGGCAGGGATTGCCCAAGGATGTCCAGTGAACCCATGTTTTTCGCCGTCCACACTGTTATGCATGGCGCGTTGGCCGGTTTGGTACTGCAAACGGAGCCGGATTATGACGTTTGCCAAGACATCTTGTATACAAGCAGCACCCTTTTGGTTTTACAGCACCCGCGCAGCAAATGATGTCGGGAGCTATTGTGGCACGGGCAAAATGACGGTTTAGAGTTGAATGTACTTCTGTCGGAGAGATCAAGAGACCTATTGGCGAATCCATCCGAACGGCGAGGGACGCCATGTGCTTGGGGGTGGTGGTATCTTGCGACGGCCAATCCGAAAACGAGCTATCTCGAAAATTGGGGGGCAGTTCGGACATTTGCCATTCTTTGCAAAAGATTTAGCCTCACCGTTCTGGTGGGAAGCGCCGGAAACTATACATCTATATCAATTGTGTGGTCAGCAAGCTGTTGTGCTCCTTGGATTCATTGTGGCAGCACAATTCATACTACAGTATGTTATATTCGTTTCGGTGTACATGTGCGCTTGCGCAATCTATTTGTCCATTCCGCATTCATGCGTATCTAGCGTACGCAGTTCAGAGGTTCTGAGCAAGGCGCGAATCACCTCTGTCTGACACCTTGACAGGCACAGGAAGTTCTACCGCAAAATTGCGGCAAGTGGAACCCGCTCGCTGGTGAGAACAGTTGTGTGTCAAGCCGACGCTGCGCCCCAAAATTGGGCAGTTCGTCGTCGTCGCGGTCGGCCTTGGCAACAGTGTGCATTTGAAATGTACAGAATGACCGCAATCCCTCTGAGCACACAGCCGGCTTTGATTCCGATTTGGTCTCCCGTCATATTTTTTTTCTTCCTCCTCCGATGGGCAGAATGTTGAGCATATGTGCATTACTTGTTCCATTCGGGTGCCAGCAGCGCAACCTTTAGTCAGCCGACGCGTCTTTCCGGATGCAGAGTCTTTGCTTACTTGCTCTGGTAGTACTTCGACTGTATCAATCGAGAGCCCCGTGTTGGAAATGAGTTGCCCTCCGTCCGCACAGGCCTTGTATAGTTGTTAACGTCCAGTCGCGCGTTTGATATAAATTTAAACGGGAACACCATGTTGGAACTTAACCGCCCGTGATGATTCGAAGTGAGGTCGGGCCGAGGCGTAAGATCGACGTCGGCTCGGGGAGGGGACCCTCGTGTTCTTCGTGCTTGCTGGCTGTGCTTGCGCATCGGGGGGGGGGAAATCGAACGTTGTCCGGTTTGGCTGGCGGAGGGGCTCGTTTTTGTTGGAAAGATATTCATATGTGTTTGGCTCGGCCGTACGTTTAAGCGAGACACCCATCTTTGAAACGAGTTGCCTTTTATCCACGGGGATATCCTGAGTTGTTAGAACGAATACTCGCGTTGCAAACGCGGAACCCATATTTCCGTTTTGAAAGCCACCCGCTTTCCATCTTTGTAAAAATGTCGGGGGGATTTTGAGCACGAATGTGCGCGGCGATACGTCCAGAGCCACGTTTTGAAACTACCCCGCCGTCCATCATGGGAAATATTTAGAGTTTTTAGGAGGAGCGCGCGCGGCGGTAAGGCCAGAGCCGTTGGAATCCTTTCGTCGCTTATCTTCGTGGCAGATGGGAACCTTAAGACGAATTTGCGCGGCGCTGAGGCGAGCACCACATTTTGAGAACAACCCGCCGTCAAACTTCGTACCCGTTGGGCAGTTCAGGCTTCAGGGCCATAAAGTGGTGCAGATGTCCTCGGCGAAACGCGTGGCCAGCTCTACCGACATGTCGGGTGATGCGACGAGGAGGTGTTGCTTAAGAGGAAGAGTGGTTCGGGGGGAAGTGTCTCCGTTTGTTTTCGAGGGCCCTGACGAGCGGGCCTCTTCGTCAGGCTGCGCCGTCAGCGTCATCGGCACCGTGGCCATGTACGGCAGGGGCATGATGAAAGTGAGGCAGAGGGCGGCCATTCGTAAGAAG